ACTAGAATCACCTTAGAAACTTGGAAAAAATGCTTATCCCTAGGCCCCAAATGATAAACTGAATCCAAATTTCCTAGAGTAGAATCCAGTCAATGATTTTTTTTTTTAAGGTGTCAGAAATTATAATGTGCTTCATAGGGCTAAGAGCACCCTCAAACACCAGTTTCTTCAACTTAATTAAATTCATTTTGTAAGTAATCCATTCAAAACACACTTTCTATTTATTCTCTTTATGCCTAGGGTTTGGAGTTATAGAGGTAGATACCATGCATGTCCTATTTTTACTCTGCTCACAATCTAGTGGCATAAACAGACACACACAAAAATAATTACAACATTACAGGATACATTTTAAAATAGATATTTGAATAATTTGCTCTGGGAGTTCTGAGACATTTCTTGTGCCTGGGAACACGGTAGAATATTTTGCTTGATTTATACTTGATAGTCATTATTATTTATCTATTTTTTTTTGAAGTAAGCTCTACTTCCAACGTGGGGCTTGAACTTACTTTTTTTTTTAAAGATTTTATTTATTTGACAGAGAGATAGAGAGAGAGCACAAGTAGGCAGAGAGGCAGGCAGAGGGAGAGGGAGAAACAGGCTCTCTGCTGAGCAGGGAGCCCGATGCGGGGCTCGATCAGAGGGATCAGGACCCAAGCTGAAGGCAGCCGCTTAACAGACTGAGCCACCCAGGCGCCCCATGGGGCTTGAACTTATGACTTCGAGATCAAGAATCACAGGCTCCTCCGACTGAGCCAGCCAGGTTCCCCCTTAGTTGTTATTTTTAAAATAGTCTGGCAAGGGGCACTGGCTGGCTCAGTCGGTTAAGCAACCAGCTCCTGATTTCACATCAAGGTCCTGGGATCTAGCCCTGTGTTCAGGCTCTGCACTCAGCCGGGAGTCTGCTTAAGGATTCTCTCTCTCCCTCTCCCTCTGCCCCTCCCCACCTCTCTCAAATAAATAAATAAATCTTTAAAAGTATAAAATAAAATAGTCTGGCAGTACCTAGAGACAGAGGAAGTGTGTCCAGGTTTCAGCATGGTCCAGTTAGGCTGTTGTATTTATGTCGTGTTTCACAAAATTTAATAGGCCAAGAATTTCCTTGAAGTCAGATTCCCAGTACTTCTCCCAAAGATTATGATTCAGAGGGTCTGTGGTGGAGCCTAGACATTCTAACATGTTCAGCAAGTTCTAGTAGTGATTCCGAAGCCAGTGATCCATGAACCCACAATTTGAGGAACACTGGTTTATGCCACATCAGAGATTTGGTACCTGTTCATTCAATAGTCTAAAAAATTATGGAAGCCCCAAGTGACGTTATTTAAAAAAAAAAAACCTTATATTTGAGTTTCTTACATCAGTAACAGATATTTAGGAAGAAGAGGTCCTTATATTTTAATTTTTTTTACTGCTTCATGTATTAAAAGTGTTAAGGACATTCCAGGCCAGTATGGGGGTAGGGAGTTAAAACCTTCACGTGGTATGTATTTTTTTTTTAAGATTTTATTTATTTATTTGAGAGAGAACGAGTGGGGAGGTGAGGGGCAGAGGGAGAGGGAGAAGCAGACTCCCCGCTGGGCAGAAAGCCCAATGTGGGGCTCAATCCCAGGACCCTGGGATCATAACCTGAGCCGAAAGCAGACACCCAACTGACTGAACCACCTAGGCACCCCACCTGGCATGTATTTCTTAAAGATTTTATTGGAAGTAAAGACAGTAATTTGCAAGAATAATTCTAGCAGAAAGACTTAGGATTTTGACAAAAAAAAAAAAAAAAAAGCAGTGAGGAGAAAATAAGAGGTAACCAGGATCTTGTACTTTGACATTTTTACTCAGTGGCACAATCTCTTCTATACAGTGTAGAATGACAGAAAGAAGTTTCCATTTGCCATCCAAGTGTGAAAAACTGGGTTTGGAGAAGAGTGCTTATTCCCTATTTTGATTGAGAAATGTAGCATGAGACAAACCGTTAAGAGACTCTTAATCATAGGAAACAAACTGAGGGTTGTTGGAGAGGATGGGGTCACTGGGTGATACATTATATGTTAATTAACTGAATTCAAATTACAAAAAAAGAAATGTAGCATGTTGAATTTGCCACAAGGGAAAGGCATGTACTAAATAGAAAATCCTCACTTTGCTCATACAAAGGTTCAGGACACTTCATGGTAAATGAGGTATGTATGGGAAATGCTTCTGTTAGCCCACTTTATAGTGACTGGATAAGTAAGGGGAGAAGAGAATATGGCACAGGGCCCATAGAAATCCAAGATATTTTGGAAATGGAGGAGTAGAAGTTAAAAGGTTTTTTTTTTTCTTAATCTTGGCACAAACATATACTTTTAGTATCAGGGTTAGGTAACTCAACTAAAACTAAGAACTGTTATAAAAAAAAACACATTAATGAAAAGTGTGTATAGGAATAATAAAATTTTGAGAAAATAAGAAGCAAGTTTGCAAGGCACTGCTATGCATTTACAGGATTTAGGTTTTTGTGTTCTGATTACTTAGTATTGATTAGGTCACACTGATTTATAATTTTTTAATGCAGAATAAATCATGCTTTTACACTGAAGAAAGCAAAAAAGATTGGTTAAAAGTTTTAGACTTGGAAATGTAGCTCTATGAAAAGTGTTTTGTGGTAGAGATCAATGGTAATTTTAGGAAATGAAACCAGAATGAGATTACATAAAGTCCTAAGTGACTAGGAAGCTATATTTCCAAAGTTCTTTGAGGTTTTACAACATTCTTCAACTTCAAAGTTCTTTCTGTGATGAAATAAATCATTTTTACTTTATGTTGGTGATTCTTTGGACAAGAAGAATGAAGACTATTTAGAAATAGACTACTTTTTTTATTCCATGTGTACAGTAAAGAAAATTATTTTGTTTCTAGTAGTAGAACCAAATCTTCCACTTTGTCTAATTTTGAAAAGTGAAAATAAAACAGTACTGATAGGATCCATGAGGCTAGCAGTTAGAGAAAATGCCAGTAACTACTATTAGTACCATTATGATTACAAACTCACTTAAGAGTTTAAATTAGAGCTTTCTTAGTTTTGAATAAGCCCTTTTCCTACTAAACAAACCTAAGGACACTCGGAAAAACCCACTGGCAGATTTAGTCATTTAACTTGACCCTTCATTGCATATTTTATCTCTCTTTAGAATTATGGAAACTACTGTATCTCACAAGGCACCATGCAACTCATTTGTCAGTAAATAATTTAACAAGATCTGAAACAGATTTACAATGATTTGCCTAACAGCTTTAGTCAGTTAATATCAAATGTATTTTAGCAAAGATAAATTTGGAATAAGCTAAATATAGAAAAGAGAACCACTTGCTGAATGAACATATTAGAGGGAGCATGCAAAGAACCACTGAGCTAAACTGAGGAATACACTTAAACCTACCTCTGATAACAATCATGCCATTACATCTACCAAGTCAGTCTAAAGTGACCTTCAGATATGTCTTCAGTGGTGTTATCTACATGCCCAGTCATGAGCCCTCCATTATTGAACTTGAGAACATTCGGTGAAAGTGACGATTCCTACCTACCTACCACTCACCACACATGTCTGCTGGCAAGAAAATTTGATAGGTCCTTTTCCAGGTCGATGACTCAAATGACTTAGATCACCACCTGAAATGGTCATTGTTAGACTTCATGGAGAGAACAGGTGTCCACCACGTGTTTGAAAAACTGCCACCCAAACTTGCTGCTGCATCCTTGATAAAACCAGGGCTATAGACCCGCCCCTTGATTGGGAGTGCTACAAGTTTACACAGTGCAAAAAACAACCTTGTTACTAGTAACACATTTTCCAGATCACTAAGGAATAGGGTAAAGAAGGAAGTTATAAAAGTGGAATTATTTGCATTGGTAAATATTTCGTGAAATGGATAAAGTCTTCTTAAATTACAAGTGCCAGGATAATCTAGTAAACACTAAAAGGTATTTCACTAACATACTTTTTGGAACTCTGATTTTAAAGCCTCTGATTAGATAAGCAACACAAATAACTGCTAGTGTTGGGTGAAATGTTTTTCAAATATACTGGGTTTGGTAAAACTCCAGACATGTTTTTGAAGGACTTTTCCCTTCAGTTTTTGAGCCCAGGTACATATTATAGTTAGTTTAATCCTGACTCATGTGTAAATCATCAAAGCATTGTTTCATAAAAAAAAACCTATCTGATTTCCAAATAGAATAATATTTCTTTACATTCTTATTTGTGTATTTATACAGAGAAATGTGAACTACCAATTCTTTAAGTTTGGCTTAACCTTTATAAAGACTTCCAAAGTCAGTTAACTATTGTTTATTCAATACCCAAACAACACAAAACTTGAAAAATAAATATTTTTCAGGACATTATTTTTTTAAGAAAGTAAAATTGCTGGTATAAGAACTTTTCTTTTCCAATTTTCATTGTCAGTATAGTATAGATTCCAACACTATCAAAGCCTTCAAAATAGAAGAAAGGGCAGTTATTTAATAGTTATGATTATTTTTTCTTGATTGTAAGTTTAAAATCCTAAAGTAGTTTATTGGTTTATTTTTTTCATTCATTTACTCATTCATTTATACAGCCAATGTAAGTTAACTGCCAGTCACCAAAGATACATGGATCAATCAGATATGGTTTCTGGCTCTGAGAATGGATATATGTAACTAAGACTATTAACACACTCCAAGACGTTATTAAAGAAAGTCATTCAAAGGAAAATTAAACTGTAGTTTAAAATTTCAATATCTTAACTACTACTTGGATGAATGGAAATTAATTTAAGTTTCTCCAAATAATGGAAAACAACAAATATTTGTGAAAAAATTCAAGTATATTGTAAGCAAAAGAGATTTTAAAGATTGGAATAGCTTAATAAAAATATTTTAATAGTGGTATTTTCTTTGAAAATTTCAATTTACCATGGAAATTTTGTTGGCTCATTGAAATAACATTAAATTATTACCTCAATCAATATTTCAGGTCATGACCCTTGGATTTAAGAAATTCTTCAAGACAACATCCAATATGATCCAAGGGAAAATGTGATTTGAGTCTGGAGACAATTGTGTATGTAAGTATTGGAAAATTAGATTTTCTCATGGTAAAATGTAATAAAAACTAAAATATCAATGCATTAATTACTAAATTACAAAAACTCTGATTCATTGTTTTCATTCTGTTACATGTTTTTTAATATCTAAAATTAATACAATGCCTCCTGATTTTTTGGTTATATATTTTTTTAGATCAACTAATAATAAAAACTCAGTATAGCTGATAGAAGAGAAAACATTATTTGGAAGATTGCTACAGTTAAAAAGAAAAGCTGTGTCTGGGTGAGTCATTGGTGAGGGCAAGCAATGATATAGATTCTATGTTCTAGAAATTGGTGTGCTCTCATTGCATGTGATAATAAAAATAATAAGTATAATATGTGGAAATGGCTTTTATAATTCTTTGGCCCTAATATTGGCACTATAATAAAAATCATGACAACTTTCTTAACAAAGTTAAATCTAAGTTCATAGTTTTCTGGCAAATATCTATTGATCGGATTTTTAAAATCTCCCTTGCCTTGAAAAATACTTCTTACACATTCAGTTAAATAAATACATTATGACTATACCATGATAATTTATATCTCATAAAAATACTGTCAGAGTAGGTTGCTCATGGGCCTTATAGTGAGTAAGCCAGTCCAGCAATGTTTGTCTCTAAGAATTAAGAAGTTAGGGACATTGTTTTAGAGGCCATTTTAATTAGCTCAGAATTGTATCTACCTTCAGAAATATTTAACAGAAATACTTTATGTGGTATTGTCCATTTCCTGTAACCTTATTTTAATAACAGATGACTTAGGGAATCTCTTATTTCCTGATTAAATGATGAATTTCTATTAAATTATAAGGCAATTTTTATGACATATGGTTGTTGACTCTCAAGAAATTGGCCCGAGAACAATTTTCCCCCTTAAATTATTGAAGAGTCAGAAAATTAAAAATGAGATTCAAGTTTATAGGAAATAAAGGTGAGCTTTATAGGAAAATACACTATCAAAATTTGTGCTTGTATGTTCTTGTGAAGCTCTTTATTTTGATACTTTAATCATTTTATTCCAATTTTGGTAAAGGCAAAGAAAGCAAGATGTTTTCTTATTATTTAAAAAAATATATGTAAGAAGCTTTCCTGTTTGTAAGACTAACATGTATTTAGGCTCTTTAGTACTTTCAGCCATAATGCTCTTAAGATTTTTTTTTAAGATTTTATTTATTTATTTGAGAGAGAGAGAGAGCACAAGCAGGGGGAGGGGCAAAGGGAGAGGGAGAAGCAGACACCCGCTGAGAGGCTGGATCCCAGGACCCTGGGATCATGACCTGAGACCTGAGCCAAAGGCAGATGCTTAACTGACTGAACCACCCAAGCATCCAATGTTCTTAACATTTGCAATATGTAAAACTATTAATCAAATCCTTAAAGCAAAATTATTGTATAGTTTTAAAAAATTTACCATTGAGTACCATCTTATTTCATAAATATTGATTACTTATGTTTATTTCATTTTCTCTGCAGTTTGATTTATATTGTATAGCATATTTCATTTTGGGTTCAATGATGGAGAAAAAGTGTATCCTGTATTTACTGCCAATCTTGCCTTTTTTTATGGTAAGCATAAATTCCTCTAATAAAACTCCCTATTTATGATTATTTGTTTTAACTTCCAATAAACCTATAATTAATAAGGGTTAATAACAACAGAATGACATATAGTTATTTGATGCATAAATTAAGTACATTTTTAATCAACAAAGCAATATTTTATTACCTTTCAGTGTACACTTTCAGGTTTTATTCAATGGGAGGCACTATAGGATGGTGACGCAGTGGCAGTGGGCATGGGATGGCAAAGTGAGGAAGGTCAATGATAAAATGTAAAAGACACCAGAGAAAGGTAATTATCAGAGTTTGAAAGAAAAATGAAATGGCTCTATACTGTAGTCATACCTAGTAGATAAAATATTTTCAGCCAGACCTGTTGATTCTGAGTTAGATCTATTTAACCAACTGAGCCACCCAGGCGCCCTGAGTTAGATCTATTTAAAAAGCAGATTCCAACCTGTTGGTTTTTCGCTCATTCTGCCAACTGATTGGTTTGTATTAATTGAAACCAAGCACTGTTTTAAATTAATTTCCTTATCCATTCATTCAAATAAGTATTAAGTGTCTGTTTTCTGACAGGCATTGATACTAAGCTTGGGGCAGGTGTGTCTGTGAGTGTGTGCACTCACGCATGCCCCTGCATGCATCTGCGGGGAATGTGAGGCTGGAGGTGGAGGGTAGACTAAGGATGAGTACAAGCCTATTGCTGTACTGGAGGGGTCATATTCCTTATACATATCATGTTATCTTTATTTACAGATATATCTTGTTCACATTTTTCTCTGTCCCACATGACAAGAGTGATGGTACTCTTATCTCATTATATGTATTAGAAACAGAGATGTAATCTCATCTAATTCTGTGCCAGCAAATAATTTTCCTGTGGTGTTTTCAAGCAAACCCCATAAAAAGATTCAAACAAAGAAACTCAAGAAAAATATAGAAAACCTAAATGGAAAAAAAGCAAGACTACATTCCCATCAGCATTTGTATTTGAAAACATTCTCCAGTCTAGGAGCAGTCCAAATCCTGAACTTCTTAGATGTTATCTTAAGTAAATAGACCAGAATTCAAGAAGCAGGACTCCTGTTTCTACAGCTCGCTTCCTCCACTGAGTGTGCCAATGAGCTGCACCTGCCAACTTTGGTTGCCTGCAGGTAATTCTGTATCAGATTACCAATCTGATTATTGTAATTTAAGGATTGTGACCATTTTTCTTGAATTCACTCAGTGTGCAAATCTGAGTTGTTTTTTTTTTTTTAATTTTTTTTTTTTAAAGACTTTATTTATTTGAGAGAGAGAGAATGAGAGACAGAGAGCATGAGAGGGAGGAGGGTCAGAGGGAGAAGCAGACTCCCTGCAGAGCAGGGAGCCCGATGCGGGACTCGATCCAGGGACTCCAGGATCATGACCTGAGCCGAAGGCAGTCGCTTAACCAACTGAGCCACCCAGGCGCCCAGCAAATCTGAGTTTTTAAGAATAAAAATGATATTGGTTTTATGCAATTCTATAAACTTCCTGAGAACAGGAGAAAAATACTAATTTTGTTGATGCTGTAAATTTACATTTATTGCAGCACAACTGCTTTATAAATCTTTATTAGGGAATTAAAACTAATCAAAGAATGAGAGAGAGGGTAAATGTTAAATGGTGGGCAGGCTATAGTGAAATTGAGTGGTGCCACACACTGAGGGAATATTACTATTTAGACTTTATTAAATACAAATTTGGGCTAGAGAACAGAGAATCAAGAATAAGGGGACAAGGGAAATACAAATCAAAACCACAATGAGATACCACCTTATAACAGTTAGAATGGCTAAAATGAACAAGACAGGAAATAACAAATGTTGGCGAGGATGTGGAGAAAGAGGAACCCTCTTACACTGTTGGTGGGAATGCGAACTGGTAAAGCCACTCTGGAAAACAGTATGGAGGTTCCTAAAGAAGTTAAAAATATAGCTACCCTACGACCAAGCAACTGCACTACTGGGCATTCACCCCAAAGATACAGATGTAGTGAAAAGAAGGGGCACCTGCACCCCAATGTTCATAGCAGCAATGTCCACAATAGCCAAACTGTAGAAGGAGCCAAGATGTCCTTCAAAAGAAGAATGGATAAAGAAGACATGGTTCATATATACAATGGAATGTTACTCAGCCATCAGAAAGGATGAATACCCACCATTTACATCAATGGGGATGGAACGCGAGGGTATTATGCTAAGTGAAATAAGTCAATCAGAGAAAGACAATTATCATATGGTTTCACTCATATATGGAATATAAGAAATAGCACAGAGGATCATAGAGGAAGGGAGGGAAAACTGAATGGGAAGAAATCAGAGAGGGAGACAAACCATGAGAGACTTTTGACTTTGGGAAAAAAACTGAGGGTTGGTGGAGGGGAGGTGGATCGGGGAGATAGGGCAACTGGGTGATGGTCATTAAGGAGGGCATGTGATATGATGAGCACTGGGTGCTATATGCAACTAATGAATCAATGAACACTACATCAAAACTAAAGATGTACTTATATGTTGGCTAATTGAATTTAAATTTTAAAAAAAGAATAAGGGGACAAAATAAAAGTAGAAAATTACTGCTTATGGAAAATAATAGAAATAATGGAGAAGTGAAGAAGAAATAAGGTTGAAGAGAGGTTATACAGGCTTCATGTTACAAAAACAGAAACAAAAAGTCATGTAGATATTAAAACTGAAGTAAAGCTTAAAATAGTGCTACTAAACTGGAAGATCATAAATATATAGCTTGTTCAAAAACATTTATTGATGTGTGTTCAATGAAAATTCCATTTACCCACACCATAAATGAATATTCTCAATATTGTGATTATCAAAATATGATGATAAAAATGATGACAATTTTGAATATTTGCCATGCGTCAGATACTTCCCCTCTGTTATCTCGATACTATTTTACCCCATTTTACAATAAGAAAGCAGAGGATTAAATATCCTGCCTGTTTGTATTCCAGAACGCATGTCCTAGAGCCAGCTCCCACAGGCTTCTGAGAACTGTCTATAGACTACACTTCCCAGAGCTGCTATTGGCAGCTGTTTGGGGGCAGTTGAAATTAAACATGGTGGGGATATTTAAACTATGAAAATTGGCAAACACTTCAGATCAGGGATTCCCCGCCCGAGCCAGATGACCATGTAGCATATCATTGCAGTGACTGTTTCCCACTGGGACAGACTGCCTCTGACAGACATTCTCACAATTCTGAAGTTGTTTTTTTTTTAATCCCTTAGATTCTTGACATAGCAGAATCAGAAGAGAACATTGAAGGCTTAAGTCAGTTGGGTGTCTATACTAGAAATAAAATTATGACGGCTCAATATGAATGTTACCAAAAAATTATGCAAGACCCTATTCAACAAACAGAAGGTAAACATGACTTTTTAATTTTAAATGCATTTGATATATTTTTAAAAGAAAACTACTCCACTACATCATTTATGGGTTCCTTAGGTCCATTACTAAAAATGGGTTAGTTGTTAGCTTTCCTGACACGTGTGCATTCTTAACTATATTTGAGCATTTTATGACATAACTTATCTTGCTTCTTTTAAAAAATTCTAATAAAAGTATGTGTAACAGGAATATTTTTAGTAACATTTTTTATGGTACAAAGATATTTAAAATATCAAATGTGTGTCTTGAATTAAATTGGTGGCTGTTGATCTTCAGTTTATGTAATTTGTATTTCTTTTTTTCACAAGCTGCTTGATAGGAGTTTGCACAATAAAATTATAATTTTTTTGTATAATGTGCTTTGCATAATACATTTAGTAGCAATGCTAATGAAGTCTAAGTGCTTCTGTTTCTATTAAGATATTCTTTAGATATTTTCGTAACATTACTGAGGGACTGCTAAATGCCAGATGTCTGCCTTGATTCTGAAGATACACAGATGAGTAGCACAATTAGAGTTGCCAGATTTAACAAAAACAAAATCAAAAATCAAAACCCAAACCAGGCCCTGTATTTTATCTGGCAACACTAAAGACAGGGTATATCTTCAAAATAGAAAATGCAAAACTCACAACAAAACATAGCAAAATGTAAAGACTTTTGATATTTCTAAATTATCAGTGGAAAGAAAGATCCTAAATTTTTTGGAAAAATATTGGATGGTATAATATATAATGCTTCTTATATAAACAAAATGCTAAAAGTAGGGTATTATTAATATTTATAACGGACAAAATGAACTTGCTTGTGAGGAAAAAAGTGATCTTCCCACGCTGGGCAACTTTTAGAATCTTAATGAACAATTCTTCTTAAGGAAGAATCTACTGAACAATATAATTTGCTTATCTTTTGAGAAGTATTTAGATGTATCTATCCAAACATTTTTATTATGAGGAATTTATTCAGTTAAAAATCTCTTTGAAATATACAGACAATGACAAACTATCTGATATTATGTCAATAGGGTCTAAATTATCAAGTACATGAATTGTATACAAATTCTGTGTTAATCCATCTGGCTTCTCACTTTATTCCATTAAAATCTAATGTTATGAGCTTAAAATGATTGAATTAACCCCTTCCAGATCATGTAGATATATGTAAAAATAGGCTTCAAATCTAATTGTCAAACAACAGGAATATCTTTATGAGATAATTTTGTGATAAAATAATTTTAGAATCACTGCATAATCAATCTTCCTGTTGAAGCTTCATAACAGACTTTGTAATTTAAATACTCTAGAAAGTCTTGCAATAAAGAACTGTCGTTATTTTAACTTTGTGCTTCCCTCATTTTTTTTTTTAAGATTTTATTTATTTGACAGAGAGAGACACAGCGAGAGAGGGAACACAAGCAGGGGGACTGGGAGAGGGAGAAGCAGGCTTCCCGCCGAGCAGGGAGCCTGATGGGGGCTCGATCCCAGGACCCTGGGATCATCACCTGAGCTGAAGGCAGACGCTTAACCAACTGAGCCACCCAGGCGCCCTGGTCATTTTTTTTTTTTTAAAGATGTCATTTATTTATTTGACAGAGAGAGACACAGTGAGAGAGGGAACACAAGCAGGGGGAGTGGGAGAGGGAGAAGCAGGCTTCCCGCTGAGCAGGGAGCCCGATGGGGGACTCGATCCCAGGACCCTGGGACCATGACCTGAGCCGAAGGCAGACGCTTAACGACTGAGCCACCCAGGCACCCCGCAAATCTTTTGACCATAGAAACTCTTTAATGGAATACCTATTCCTGTCTCGCTCAAATGCCATACAACACAGTTGAAAGTTTCTGACCTTCTAATCTATCATACTGCCAGTGTTGTCATTAATTAGATAGAATCTTTTGGACCAGTGATAAGGACTTGTTTGAGATGCTTTCTCTGATAGGCCACAAAATACATTTTATTTACTAATATATGAATGCAGACTATTTAAATAAGTGTTTGAAAAATCACAGGAGGAAAAAACTGAGATGATCTGAGTTCTTTTTTTAATGAGAATTATTTATACTTTCAGGCCAGAATTTTCCTACTCCCCTGAAGGTTAGATTGATTCTGAGATTGTGGCACAAATCTGTTATAAATAATAAACATCTCATACAACAGTCGGGCTTCTATCTATGAGAGCTTGCCTGACAAGGTGGAAAATTATTTTCTTTGATTATAGACTGTTACAACATTGGAACACTGGTCATTTTATTTCTCTATGCCTTTAAAAAAACATATTTTTTCATGTAAGAGGTACTTTCTCTTCAGGTTGGTAAAAGGAAACTGTGAGAATGTTAAACACTCTACTTCATTTGAAAAGTAAAGGAAGGCAAGTAAGAGCTAGAATTTGGTAGAGGGGTTTAAATATCTGTTAGGGTCAATGTAGTGAAATGGGAAATGTTGGAGTGTCCATTTTTTTTCCAGAAAATACTAACACCTTGCCCTAAGAACACAATTTCTAAGATAACACATTTTCTATATTCCCATATTTTTTTAAAATTTTAAGTGTAGGGACACTAAGTAACTACCACCTTTATGGTTAAGGACAACCAGCAAAGACCATTTAATTTATTGAATGAATGGCTACCTTTGAGAATTGAAATTAAAGTTAAACTTTTAAATATACTCTTATAGATATTTCTAAATTGAATTTTGCAGTTATTCCAATAATTACTTGGTGAAAAATTTAAGTAATAGCTATAGCTTTTATAAGATGTCTTCATTTTCAGTCGGTGGTCTGTATTTCACGTCAGTATGAACCCACCAGTAAGACTTTACATCTTCAGGTATAACTAGAGGGACTAGTAATCACTGATCTTTACTCTCCCCTTCAGGCGTTTACTGCAACAGAACCTGGGATGGGTGGTTATGCTGGAATGATGTTGCCGCTGGAACCGAGTCAATACAGCATTGCCCTGATTACTTTCAGGACTTCGACCCATCAGGTAAAAGCAGAAATGTATATACAGATCTGCTTGATATTAAATAAACCCTAAGTTAACTAAATTACCATTTTCTTCTTTCCTTTTCCTTTTTAATTTTAAAGAAAAAGTTACAAAGATCTGTGACCAAGATGGAAACTGGTTTAGACATCCAGAAAGCAACCGAACATGGACAAATTATACCCAGTGTAATGTTAACACACAGGAGAAAGTGAAGGTATGGAATACATATAAACGGAAATGTAATTGATACTGTTTAAAAAGTCAGTTGCTGATACAGTATTGGAGAAAATTTGCTTTGTGTTCTATTCTATTGTAAAGTCTTTTCATAATATACTTTGAGAAAAACAACGGAGAAAAATCTTTGTGGAAACAATCATTCATTCTGTCATGACGTTGAGGAAGCAATCCTGTTAGATAATACTGTATTTACAAGTCAATGTGTCAGTATTGGAGTTTCAGATTTCCCAAAGAAAACATACTTTAAAAGTATAAGAAAAGGGAACATTTCACTGGTACTGGAATTTTGAGAAATAAGTTCAGGAATTGTGCTCAAGTAAACAAGGGAAGCCCAGCAGGGTTTAAACAGCTCTCTCTGTCCCTCAACAGAAGGCTGTCCTTCCAACTGGATGCTAGGTTATTCTCGCTCACATTCCCACTTTTAGCACCATACGTTAAAGTCAAGGTTAGTCACAGTTTGTCACAACAATTAAGCTTTTATAGAAAGTGCCTGCATATATTTGCACATGGGGGAACACAGAGGAAGTTTGTCAGTGATTGAAACTGAGTCCTGAAATCTGACTTCCACTTCCTGCTCTTTACCAGCTAGATGCCCTCAGGCAAGCTATAACCCCTCTCTGTATAAAATGAAGATAACAATGAACCCACCCTCAAGGTTTTCATAAGGATTGACTTAATACAAGAAAAAACCTTAGAAAACTATAGGCATAAAATAAGCACTTGATAACTGTCAGCTATCATTATAATTATAAATCATGTATTCTTTGCTTATTCAGAGAAGGGTTTAAAGAGAATTATAAAAATACACAATAAAATGGTAAATTACAAATAGATGGAATACAGAAAAATAAAAAAATCAAAGCAGATCAGAGGCTCCTATAATTACTATATTGAGATTTGTCTTAGAGTTTCAAATTGTCAAAGGAAAAAGAAAAACCCAGTAGGAAAGAAAGCCTTACCTAAAGAAAACACACAAAAATAATTACATAGCATTTGATTTAATGTGCACAAAGTGATAGAGTGAAAATTGTCAATATCTTTCAAAATATAAAATGCTAATTTCATATATTACACAACCTAGATCAATAAAATTATTCCTTCCTATCATATGACTGCTAATTTCTTTTTTTTTTAAGATTTTATTTATTTATTTGAGAGAGAGAATGAGAGAGAGTGAGAGAGCACATGAGAGGGGGGAGGGTCAGAGGGAGAAGCAGGCTCCCTGCGGAGCAGGGAGCCTGATGCAGGACTTGATCCCTGGACTCCAGGATCATGACCTGAGCTGAAGGCAGTTGCTTAACCGACTGAGCCACCCAGGCGCCCTGACTTCTAATTTCTTAAATAAAAAGGGCATATAATTTATAAATTTTGATGTCACTTGATAAATTTGCATATACTCTTCATTCCAGATGTAACAAATATCTAATGCAAGCTAAATGGTAAGGCTATCAGAGCACATATTTTTAAAAATACAATTTATTCTATTGATTTGAGCTTATACACATGGAGGATTATATTACTGATATGAGCCTTACTTGTTTTTTTATCCACACAAATTGTAGACTGCACTGAATTTGTTCTACCTGACTATAATTGGACATGGATTATCTATTGCTTCACTGCTTATCTCGCTTGGCATATTCTTTTATTTCAAGTAAGTACATGTAAAATATTTTTTAATTTACAAGTTGTCATTGGTGAATGCAGTGCCATGTGCATGTTTATGTCATGTGCTGATAAAATATATGAAATATAGATGACATAACATTTAAAATAAATTGAATGTTTAAAATAATTTGAAATATAATGAACTTATCTTGACTTTGTAAAATATATAGAGCAGAGATTTGTGAAAATCTGAAACTCAACTTTACAAAATTAGTAGACATATTAAAACGAAGTCATGTAGTGAGAAGAGAGCCAAAATCATTATGTAAATCCATCTGTATTTGTTTTAGAAACTGTCAAATATTATAGGCTTTTTTAATTGAATTTTCAACTTTTAGGTCAATTTTTGTGTCAGTATACATGGTACATTACAGAAACTGGTATTTTGTGTGAATAATGGCAATGGAATTTAATATATATTATTAAATCTAATAATTTAAATATATTATGGTTAGATTACTTTTCTTGTTTGGGAGGTCATCATTAATATAGTTAACTTATATTTTGAATTTTACTGGAAATTTACTTCCTTTTTTTGGGAGGGAGAGTCAACTCCAATTTCTTGATTTAACCAATCAACAAGTGATGTTTTAAATTAATGGGAAGGAAATTCCAAAACGTGCATACAATATTTTACTCATTAACATGGTTTTCATAATTTTGATCACCACCAATAATTACAGAATGCAGTGTGAAGAGTGAGTAGCTGTATTTCATTGTATCTTCATTACGATTGTCATTATCTTCCTCCTCTTCCTCCTCCTCCTCTTTCTTCTTCAACAATTGTCTTGGAACATTAGCAGCTTCAGAATCAGCTAGAGTAGTAGTACATCACAATAATCCAAACCCGGAAATTATCAGGCAGCTGGATGTTAGATACATACGTAACTAGAGCACCAGCTTTGGCCCACAGTCCATCAAATATTCAGAGTATATCGAATAATATATGAACCAACCAACCATTGTCTCTCATGGCTTCAAAATCACAGGATCTAGAGATTGCATCAGAATTGCTGTTTTTGGAAACCTGTGCCTTTTTAAACAACTTCAAGATCAGTTACTTTGAGGAATCCACATAAGTACTTTTTAATGGCACTTTTGATTTATAACATTATCTAGGCACCATTAGAAAGTGACTTTAAAAAACTCCCCTCTGAATAAAGCTAATTAAGCATTTGTATACATTTTTATATTTGACATGTTTTCTTTAGTAAATTATGTAAAAATGTATCAAAGTCAGTTGAAAAGAATTTTTATCCTAAAATATGGAAAACATTTCTTAAGGAATTAAATTTACTATACTATATTTTGCAACAAGTTATCAAAAGTTTCTTGCTCAAAACAAGTTGCCAGTTCTCAGTCAATGCCTTTATAATTAGTTATGTCATATCAGTTGCTTATATATAACTTAAAACTTCATGACTTTACTCTTAAATATATTCTCTCCTTACACAAGATTTTTGAATAAATACTGTCTCTGGAGTAGGAAAAACTTTATTATGATTGTATAATAGATTAAAAATATCTGTTCTAAAAAATAGAAAATAAACCATTTTCCAAAGTAATAATTTTTATTTATTTATTTCTTAATTTTTTTTAAAGATTTCAAATATTTTTTTGAGAGAGAGAGAGAGAAAGAAAGCATGAGCAGGGGGAGGGGTAGAGGGAGAGGGAGAGGGAGAAGCAGACTCCCAGCTGAGCAGGGAGCCCACAGGACTCTGGGATCATGACCTGAGCTGAAGGCAGATGCTTAACCGACTGAGCAACTCAGGCACCCAAAGTGAAAATTTTTAAATAAAGTCCGCTGGTCCATAGTGATATATAATTTATGCTAATTGACAAAGTGAAGCAATGTTGCTGATGCTAACAAACTTATTGGTAAAATAGGGCAATGAAAATTAGTTAATATTTAGTGACTTTAAAAACACAAAATGAAATTAAAATTTCAAGTTTCATTTAGTATAATAAAATGACTAAACAGTTTCACAAGGATATAGTTCATTTCTTATTCATGAAGACAGAATCTTTACAATTTAAAAATACAAATTGTCTAAATTTGAAAATAGAACTCTCTTGGCTCTTAGAACTAAATAATGCAATTAATTGCCATTAAATTTATGCAGTACTCCTAGAACTCAGATTTTTAGTTCATGAAAATTACATATCTACCGCACTGTACATACCATACAAAAACACAGAGAGAATTAATTTAAATGTAACTAATATTAGCTAAGTTTCTTTTTCTTAACATGAAAATTCCTACAACTATGACTGACTATAAAGATCAGCCTCTATCCTAAAGGCATAAAATAGAAATAATAAGAGTTGTTTAATACTATTTCACAAATCTTGGGGAAAAGTTACAAGTTTTAACTATTTCTAACCTCAGGAAAAAGACTTAATTAAAAACAAACTATAATCTTGAGAAACAAGACTTGCCCTTAAATTTGCAATACTTTTTAAAAAATCAAGAACAATTTAAGCATGTTACTTAAATAAAGGAAAGAAATATATACACCTGTAATTTTAAGATCCTATTGAACACCTGTAACTTTAATATCCTACTGAGCAATTTCTTACATTTTTGCAGTTTATTTCATATTCATTTGTTTTTACTGTTTTGTTATATACAAAGTGTGTTAACTATTTTTATAATTTAGTATTATATAATTCTTTCCATGTACCTAAAGAGTTTTTAAAACTCTTTAGTTTATTATTTAGTCATTTAATTTGCTAAATAATATTTCATTTAGTAAGTCGACAAAGGTTTATTAAATTATTCCTCTATTTTTGAGCACTAATATTACTTCCAATTTTTCCTATTAATAAAAAACACTGCAATGGACATTTTCAGACATAACTTTTCCCATATTTCACACTATTTTTTTAGGCTACATTCCCAGAGACTTGGGATTTCTTGGTCAAAGGGTATATGTCTTTTTATGGCTCTTGAAATACATCATCTTTTTTTTAATTATTATGTGATATTAATCACCATACATTACATCATTAGTTTTTGATGTAGTGTTCCATGCTTCATTGTTTGCATATAACACCCAGTGCTCCACACAGTACGTGCCCTCTTTAGTACCCATTCCAGGCTAACCCATCTCCCCATCCCCCTCCCCTCTAGAACCTTCAGTTTGTTTCTCAGAGTCCATAGTCTCTCATGGTTCATCTCCCCCTCCGATTTCCCCCGCTTCATTCTTCCCCTCCTGCTATCTTCTTCTTCTTCTTTTTTTATTTTCTTAACATATATTGCATTATTTGTTTCAGAGGTACATATCTGTGATTCAACAGTCTTGCACAATTCACAGCGCTCACAATGGCACATATCCTCCCCAATGTCTATCACACAGCCACCCCATCCCTCCCACGCCCCACCACTCCAGCTACCCTCAGTTTGTTTCCTGAGATTAAGAATTCCTCATATCAGTGAGGTCATATGATACATGTCTTTCTCTGACTGACTTATTTCGCTCAGCATAATACCCTCCAGTTCCATCCACGTCATTGCAAACGACAAGATTTCATTCCTTTTGATGGCTGCACAATGCCCACAATAGCCAAATTATGGAAAGAGCCAAGATGTCCATCAACAGATGAATGGGTAAAGAAGATGTGTTATTTATATACAATGGAATATTATGCAGCCATGAAATACATCATCTTAAAAATGTCTCAAAGTCAACATGTCTGAAACAAATCCATAGCATGTACCTCCTCCTAAGCAAAGCAGTTTTTCTTCCAGAGTGACCCATCTTTGAGAATACTACTACCAGCCATCTAGTTGAATTAGGAGCAATCTGTGGCATCTTCTCAATTTTCTTCCCTGTCCTTCTTCCTCAGACTCTGTGGATTTAGCCTTGCAACAGCCCTCCAATCTATGCATTTTTTTTCATTTCTACTGCCACCACCATCACCCTAGTGTTATCTAGCCTCAATAAATCCCCTTCACCACCTTCATTCAATTCTAAACAAGGCAGACAGAATATTTTCAAAGCTTTAGATCAAATACAGATATGATTTTGTCATCCTTTGCTTTAAAAATCTTAAACTTTCTACTGTAATTTATATAAAATCAAAATCATTAATGTATCCTATAATTGAATATCTTGCCTATCCTCCCACCCCAGCCTACTTAAATGTATTCAACTTTCAGATCTAAACTGTAGCATCAGTTCCTCAGTGAAATCTTCCCAAGTTCCTTATTGTAACATTACTAAAACGCAACTAGTTACAGTGGACACGGAGTAAATTTTTAATTACCATTTTAGGAGACCAACCACCTATCACTGTAGATTTAAAACTAATACAACTGAGACCCTTTAGATTAAATAATCTCTTTTTATTTTCCACGTAACAAGTCAAAATGTACAAGCACGTTAAATATCTGAATGACATGAAGTTAAGCAGCATAGCAATTACATTGCATGCCAAAATCAGAAGTCAAAAAGAGAATAATAGTCCCCTAGTATACAAAGTCCTAGGGTTCCAAACAAGTTTGAATTTAGCAAGGATGTAAATAAAGTCCCGCACTAATTCTATGAAGTCAGATGTAAAATTAACAAAGCTTCTTCGTGAAAGAATCTGTGAATTAACTGAGCAAATGCTTGCTGTGAACTAATGAGGCAGCAGTGGGACTGCCTAGTGAAAACAACGCTACAAGCCAGAATATACCAGTAAATGCAAAGTATTAAATTCCAAATCTCTAATCAGACCAGTCCTTTACTCTGGCACTATGGACTGACTTTGTAAGAGGAAAAGGGGATGTTAAAAGATTTGGCTTATCACACAGTGAAGCAATTGAAGAAAATAATGTCCACTGATCACAGAGTCAAGGTACCAAAAATGTTAAACCAGAAAAAGACAAAATATAGGGGCATAATAGATGACTTCAAATCCAAATGACTGTAATTGGGAATAGAATTTATATAATAACATAAAAAAATTTGGCTCTATTAAAAAATATAAACAATTCTGACA